TTCTTATATATATATATATATGTGTGTGTGTGTGTGTGTGTGTGTGTGTGTGTGTGTGTGCGTATTCTTGATTGAGAATTTTCCATTCCCAAAATATTAAATTGATCCAAATTCCATAAAAAGTTAAGGAAAAGTATATAATGAGACTATTTACTTTGGTACAAAGTAGTTACAAATAATTTTGACTATTGGATGTACAATTGGGTGGCTGTATTTATTTCATCGACCAAGCTCAAAGTTCGAAAGAACTTTTCTCGAACTTTGTGATACACCCAAGCTATCGTATTTTACATTAGATGGTCATAAAAATTGTGATTTTTTGTACCAAATATAAATAATATCATTGTATATCATCCCAAAAGTTAAAAGAGAATGTTACATGCAATCATGATCACTCATTTCTTTTCATTTCAGTATGACGTGCTAGGAGGGTGCTTCCATAACATTTCAACGGGCGTCAATTTGAAGTTTGAAAGGAGTTTCTAAGTGTTCGTCACAGTAGGCTCATATTAAAAAACAAAGAGACACACATGCATAATTATACAAGTTTTAAATTACTAAAAATAAGAACAAAAACATAAAATTTTTACCTAGCGATGTAGAAAGCATAGGATTTAACCCCATTATTGTAAGAATAACCAATTCGAATAACACACTAATTATTTAAGAGGGCGACATGAAATTACTTCCCATAAATATATATAGAATTTTTAAAGTATTGAACACAAGTCTACATTTTCGTGTCACATAAGGAGTTCAGCCTGCTCTTGTATGACCTTCCATGCTTCATCCACATGCCGCTCTTGGGTGAGTGCAACTCCAACCACAAATCGTAGGACATAGATCCCCCCAATCACAGTGTGGGTTATGTAGGCGCGGCCGGATGCGTTCACAGCCTCGAGTAACGCTGCGTTGAGCTCCGGTCCGCCCCTCACCAACCGAAAGCACACTAATGAGAACCTCCTCTTCGCGGCCACCTCGAACCTCCTGTCTCCTCGCACCAGCATCTCAAATCGCCTTGCCAATCCCACGTCACTCCGTATGTGGCTCTGTAACCTCACAGCACCATGGCTCTGCAGCACCAGCCACAGCCGGATTGACCTGAACCGCCGGGTCAGGGCTATCTGCCAATCCTTGTAGTCTACTACATTCTTGGTGTCTGTGGCCCTGTTCTTCAAGTACTCTGTGCTTGTACCCGGTGCTCGCACCAGCGCACGAGTGTCCCGCACCCATGTACAGCAGCAATCCATGTAGGTCAAGAGCCACTTGTGTGGGCCAATGCTGAAAGAATCAGCAAGCTCTACACCGTTGAGGTAGTGCCGGAACTCCGGGCATATGCATGCATTGCCGGCTTATGCTGCATCCACATGAACGCACGCATTGTACTTGTTTGGGACGAGCCCAAGTCCCTCCAAGGGGTCCACCGCACCAGATGAGGTGGTCCCAACGGTGGCGCACAAGAAAAAAGGTGTGAGCCCAGCCGCCATATCTGCCACTAGAGCGGCTTCAAAAGGTACAGGGGAGAGGGCAAAGTCTGAGGCTACCGAAGTTGGGATAACCCGGAGGTTTTTCGGGGAGATGCCGGCAATCATGGCAGCCTTCCCAAAAGCTGCATGGGTCTGGTCAGAAGAGTGGACAACCAACTTCTTCATATTTGGGGGTTTGAGCTCTTCAAGAGCCATGTTTCTTGCGGTAACGAGCGCACAGAGCATGGCCTCGCTAGCACTCCCATGTATGACGCCACCTCCGGTGCCGGAAAACAAGAAGGATTCCGGCAACGACAGCAGTTTCCCCAACCAATCGGTGACCACAGATTCCAACTCCGTCACAGCAGGTGAGGCGATCCAGCTGAAGCCAACTACATTGAAGGCCGTACAAAGCATCTCGCCCAAGAACCCCGCGGTGCTTCCAGTCGCGGGAAAGTACGCAAAGAAGTTGAGGCTCTGCCAGTGAGTTAGACCAGGGATGATGTATTTCTTGACATCTTCGAGGATAGTTTCGAGGCTTTCCGGCCTTTCGGGGGCAGTTTCCGGCAACTTATTCCGGAGATAATTGGGCTCCATTTGGCTTCTCACTGGGTATTTCTCCACTTCTCTGTAATAATCGGCTATGAAGTCCACAACTACATGAGCTTGCTTTCTAAATTCCTCTGCATCTAATGGGTTGCAGTCCAACTCAGATGAATCCAAGACGCCATTAGAGCAACTAAAGCTACCCATTTGGAGATGAGGGATGAGATGTTAACGGAACTTAGTTACTGAAATGAATTTTGTAAAATGTAGTGGTAGTGCAAGGATCCTAACAAGAAATATATATAGTATAAGGATCCTCAGAATTATACATGTATCTTCTATCTATATATAAAGCACTTTGCTACCACACGATTTGAAACATGGAAAATATAACACTATTCATTGCCTCCCCCCCCCCCCTAAAACGTAGAACGGAAAAGGGTAAACACACCTCTTTTACTGTGGCGATCGAGTATTGTCACGCGTTTTTTACTGTCAAGCGATTGAAACATGGAAAATAACACTACTCATTGCCCACTTTCTCTCTCTCTCTCTCTAAAAGTAGAACGGAAAATAATATACTATGAACATGGTATTTTTGTTTAGGGTGCTGTTGACGTACGGATGCATCCCTAGCTGTAGAGGTAAGGTGGACTTTCAAATTTTATCGTGATATATAATTTTGATGTAAAATGTTTTTAAAATTATCTTGAAATTTATTTTTATATCTAATTATAGAATTTTAAATTTTAAAAATGGTTAAAATCAAGTAGATCTATAAACATGTGAAAATCTTGAAAATGGACGGTGTAGATAATATGTTGTAAAATACACTATTTCCAAGACTTAAAATCTTTTTATTTTTTATAGTTGTACATCTCGATGTCGAGATGATCAATCAAGGGGTTTTTCAACTTTAAAAGTACCTTTTCTGATGGATTTTTGAGGTGCATCCGTAGTTCTACATTATAGGGTTCATCCTTATATAAACTTTTTCCTTTTGTTTAAAATCGGCATTTTAATCTTAAAATATATACTATGTACATTGTTTTTTTGTTTAAAATGGGCATTTTAATGTTATTTTTAATTTTATTTATTATTGATTTCATATAATACTTAAAATGTTCAAAATAGCATGAAATTGTAACTATACAATAAAAATAAATTAGTTCCTTATTTTATGGGATTGTATACAATAATAAGACTATCTACTTTTTGTACAAAAAAATCACAATTACTTACAACCATTCGATGTGAAATCTGATCCATAAAGTTCAGGAAAAAGTCTTTTGAATTTTCAGCTTGTTCAATGAAATAAATGCAACTACCTAATTTCACATCCAATTGTCAAGATTAGTTGTGACACCAAAGGTGAATGCCCTCATTATATACTTTCCCTATTTCTATTATACTATTGAAATTCAAAATTTTACTAAAACGTCAAATAAAACTAAAAACTTATAATTTTCTTATAACTCTAAACCTAGAATTATATTTTTGTAACAAGTATTTGGGATCCCCAAAGAAACATACACTATGAATGAGGGCGACGCTATAAAGCTGAACTTTTGGCATTCACCACAGCCGTCACATCATGTAATTCCAATAAATGCTTAAACATTTAATTAGTGCTTTTAATTTTTAGTTTTAGTGTTTTTTTTAGGCTAAAATACCATGCGATTATTATTTTTTAAATAATAAGATGATTTAGCCCATTAGATTCTTTATTTTTAGAATAATAAGATTTTTCATGAATTTTAAGTTTCTTATAATTGTAGGCTATTTAAAAGATATATTATTTTAACAAAATCCATTAAACATATAGGATAAATATTTAATTTTATATATATATATATAAAGAGAGAGAGAGAGAGAGAG